CTATGCTACTTGCATCCGCTTTAGGAGCCGAAAGGATGATGAAATACGTCATTCAATGCACTCTGGAAACCAGAACTACCAAGAGGCAGTGGAGTAGCTTTGCTGCAGGATACACATTTTATAAAAAAAATTAAAGCGCAAGCAACCGAAACGAAACAGTGGCGTGATGGTACCGGAAAGCGACTCAGTATTCGCCATGTGATCGGATTCCCTTTGTGCAATAGGACAGTCGAGCATAAAGGTTCTGCAACGAATCATTTCGATGGTTAGTTAGCTAGTTCCGAACCTATGGTGTATTTCTTGTGGCCAAACTGTTTTCAGTTTATGTTCACGCGCGACGGCGATTCGATCACAAATTTCTGACTGTTTACTCAGGCTCAGGAGAGCTCATTCACCATCGTCCTAACTTTAAATCCATATTGACGATCCACAGACAACCGCATAGAGCGGAAATAAACTTATGCGATTATGACCACAAGACGATGGTGAAAATCCCCAAGATACATATAACTGAGCAGGCGGGACTGTGGTGTCTCCTTCCAGCAATCCCAGATAGAGGCTTCAATCTCTCGCAACCCATTTCACCATCTGCACACATGAAAATGCCACAGTGCAACTGGGTGTAACCGTGAATCGTGGTCACTTGATCCACTGCGTTTTTACATTCGGGTCAGAATGCAGTGGCTGAAGTGAAGCGACTAGTTCATTCGGTCAACTGTTGTGCTGTGAGCTCGTCACACCAGTGTACCTCGTATTTAAATGGAAATCTACTTTCGGTTTCATATGTGTGCACCTCATTATGTTCATACTTTGCAGTCGATACTGATGCGACTGAACTAGAGGACAATAAAGAGGAGGGATTCTTTGTCTCATTTAATTGGTCTTCTGACATCAACCGTAACTTGCTTCAGGCTGATACGTGAGGTCGGAAACAGTCAATCATTGCGCCGCTGACCTCAGTATAGCAATCGTGTTAGCTCCACTGACTTTTCAGCGGATTGACAACGGTGATAATGAAAAGTATTTTGCACTGATAATTAATCACACTGGCTTCCTAGTTAGATAGTTTCCTGCGCGTTCAAAATAGCACTAGACGACCATCTGCTGGTCAGTAGTGTGCAACCCTGACCTCATTCATATATAATCGAATTCAGATTTACTAGCGATAATTGCGACTAACTGCCGGGAAAACCGTGTCAATTTGCTTTTTTATAGATGTCGACACCAATAACTTCTAAACCGGATCTGTCGAAATGATTATCAAAATTTGTGAAGTGAACCTATTAGAGAACAGCATATACACTTGAGGAATATATAACATCGACAGAGATGCATGCATTGCTTTGCTTCGCAAATAGTTCCCGTAAAGTCAGAAGTCTATATCCGTGCGTAGGATACTCCTTTCGATGACTCTCTTTCTAGGAGTTTGCTGTGATTTGTAAAAAATTAATACTCCTCTGAATTGTAATCGGTAAAAGTCGCTGAACTCATTAATCCCCGTACGGTGCGCAACTTTGACATGCACTGTGATAACGATGGGACATCGATCGCTATCTACGAGTCAACTGAAGGCAGTGAAAGCGAGAAAGATAACACAGGACACAGAGAAAGCAGACTTATCGCCACATCGGTTATGTAATGCTAGCTGCATTCAACATTGAGGAAAGTTTTAGGTGGATTTGCTTTCGACCAAAAAATGCGAAAAGCCACCGATGCTTGGAAACACACTATGACGTTCCATCCTGAATAGGGAATACTGCGTCACTGAAGCGGATAGGAATAGAACCTGTATAATTTCATCAAAAGATAAGCAAAAAGGTCAAAAACCATCTGTCCTTTTCATCTAATTACGATACTGGTTTGAGTGGCTTATGAGGCTTAGCGCGATCTACCTTTGCAATGTGACCAGACGTGCCACATGCATGACGTACAGCATTTCGAAAGCGACATGTAATACGAAGGTGTGACTCACCGCAACTGAAACACATTCCTTAGGTTTTGTTCGCATGCGGCGAGGTGGTCTGCGTTGGGTGTACTGGATTTTCTGCATGGTCTGATGGCCATTAATGCCTTCATTCAGCAAGACAGTGTCGAATTGTCGAGCGTTGCGCTTATATCCTCATGTGCTCGCAGGGTTCCCGAGCTTCGTTGTAAGATAGTCTAGGTTATGACAGAAGCTTCTGCAATGAACGGTCATTGATACCGGCGATTAGTGGGTCCCGAAGATGTGTATGGAGTTCACTACAGTTGAAGCATGAAGTCTCTAATTTTCATGTTCTTGCCGCTGACGAGTGAATGAAAGTGGACCCTTTCGGTTGTTTCCAAATTTGTTGGTATCGGGTAGTTCAGGAGTATATACTTTAGGTCTGCATAAGGTAAGCTATTTGCTGAATGCGGGTAAGCCATGTTCTTTAACAGCATGTACATAGCGCCTCCTCCAGCATTTAGGAACACTACGAACTGATTCCCTTCCCTGACAACCTTTCATATGTTCTATGTATCCCTACTTAGGTATTCACCCTTGCCTCGTTATTTAATCTTACGGTTTATCACCGCTTACGTATTACCGCACTGGACATATTGCTGACCTCTGTTCTTTTCTGGCTTTTTAAACTCGCATTTCAAACTCACCAGCATCTTGCCTCATGTAGCGGCACTTCAATGATGGGGTCTACTGTCATGATTGTATTCAAGCACTTTCACTCCTGCGGAAAGCTGGCGTCTAAAATACTGGCGCTATTCACCCCCTCCATTGTGCATTGTCGAAATGTATCTTGATTTCTTCGACCAGAGCCATTTTTGCTCAAATACGGGCTTATGGTGCGTCAGTAAGACCCTATTTGTCACGTTTTTTGAGGGATAAAAGTTTAATCCAACAGGTACTGATGGCCAAACTGATTCGATGGGGTCACAGTCACCTTCTCAAATCGCTGACGCAAAATATCCGTTTGTTGCACATTTTATTAGTTTTATCTGTCATTGGCGTATATGTTGTTGCTGCATATTCACTCTTCGTGGGTACATAGAGCGCATTGTTGACTTGGCTTAACTTGACACCAATTGTGGGCATTTTGGCACCTACATCTTTTAGTTGCACAATCCATTCTTATTTCTCTTAAACATGAAAACACTGAATGCTCTCCTTGTTTCGTTACATCTCTGGTATGCGGACGACGCGTTACCTTCAATGCGAAATAAACCGGTACTGATGAACGACGCAACGGCGTTTCATCTAAGCTACTCTGGGGCGATTGAACGAGCAGGTTTTTGTTTACTTACGTCGAGTCTATTGCTAATACGATGATACAACTTTGAATCTTATGTAGTTTCGCAAGGCAATCATTCAGGTGACAATTTCATATTCGCCCAAACTCAACTACCGTCAGACGCAGTTTCACAATATGCTATGCTGTTGAAATTTCACACTGCCGACGGACAAAGCTATCAAACCGATTGCTGGAAACGGAGTAACTGCTTTCAATGTACACACTTTACGTTCCTGGCTTCACCTGTTCGCCGAACTTCGTAATTGGCATGCCAAGGTTTCATCAGCAGACGAGGTGACTTCCTCAGTGCGCTGCTGGCTCAAATGTAATCCGCTAACTTGGTCGTCGATTCGTAATCGATCGGCAAGTGACTTTTGAATTGAACTCCTCGATCTGCGCCCCGTGACCTTCACCCGTCTACCCAACTTCTCTAACAAACACGGGGATTCATGAGATGGTTTTGCTCCGGTTGTTGCGGTTATGTGTTTGATGAATCGTTTAGCTGTCTACGACGGTTGTTAAGCTGCCTCAGTTCTCTCCGTCTTGGCGTTTGGTAAACCGGGTCAGTCTCGATGTGCATGTTTATTGAGTGCTTCGTTGAATACCATGCCTCGAGGAACTCTCTTCTTTCTCGTGTTTATCCTTGTGCTATGACCTTGGTGGTGTTCCAATCGAAGCGATGTCCTTATTCGTCCGTGTGTAATGAAACCAGTGAGAGAGTGCAATGGTTCTTACGAGCTCTTTTATACTGTTGCATCCTTGTTGACAGTCGCCTTTCTGTCTGACCCACATAGTTCTTATCGCAACCTTGACACCATAGCTTGTAAGAAACATTTCGTCTTTCTTGGGCTCCAGGTTTAGTTTTGGGTATTGACAGGATTCTCCTCAATGTGGCGGTTGATTTGTGAGCCACTGGATGTGTTAGTCCCTAGAAGAGAGTTGGAAACCTTGGTTTACAGGAAATGAACACGCAACGACCAGCTTCTAAACTACTACAGCAATCACCAGAATTGACACCAAATAAGCTGCGTCCGAACTCAATGCAGCACCCTTGAGGCAAAACGGAAAGAGGAGACATATCCGTTCAGATCATTTCAGCTAGATGGATATCTACATAGCGTCGTCCGCCGATGTCTAAACAACGAAGCTCCGACCTCTCAACCTGCTCAAACGACAACAAAGAGAGCCGTTCCACCCTAAATAAAGTAAGCCTCCGAGATGACAGCAAGGTTGTTCAAACAGCACGGTCTTACAGTGGCTCACAAGGCAACTGTCACGCTGTCGAAACTTAAAACTAGACTTGAAACCAGGAAAGACAGAATGTTTTTTACAAGCTATGGTGTCAAGGTTGCGATAAGAACTATGTGGGTCAGACAGAAAGGCGACTGTCAACAAGGATGCAACAGTATAAAAGAGCTCGTAAGAACCATTGCGCTCTCTCACTGGTTTCATTACACACGGACGAATAAGGACATCCCTTCGATTGGAACACCACCAAGGTCATAGCACAAGGATAAACACGAGAAAGAAGAGAGTTCCTCGAGGCATGGTATTCAACGAAGCACTCAATAAACATGCACATCGAGACTGACCCGGTTTACCAAACGCCAAGACGGAGAGAACTGAGGCAGCTTAACAACCGTCGTAGACAGCTAAACGATTCATCAAACACATAACCGCAACAACCGGAGCAAAACCATCTCATGAATCCCCGTGTTTGTTAGAGAAGTTGGGTAGACGGGTGAAGGTCACGGGGCGCAGATCGAGGAGTTCAATTCAAAAGTCACTTGCCGATCGATTACGAATCGACGACCAAGTTAGCGGATTACATTTGAGCCAGCAGCGCACTGAGGAAGTCACCTCGTCTGCTGATGAAACGTTGGCATGCCAATTACGAAGTTCGGCGAACGAGTGAAGCGAGGAACCATCAACCCGAGCTATTACTGCATCAATTCATTTTGAACACACTATACGTGGCCGCAATCAAACTTTGGAAATCGGGTAAACACAATTTGTACAAGCAATCCGAGCGCCAATGTTCTAATTAAGAATTTCTTCATTGTATTTTTTGGTATTGCGTCGAACTCAGAACTTCACCTAAAATGTTCTGCAAAAATCGATGCACCTCGCATTATTCATATAACTTCAACTTGCAATTTAAAGAGATATTCAAATCAGCTGTTTTGTGTATGCATTTCGTCTCATATGAATACTTACCGTACCCTTTTGCACAGTTGTGTGACTGTTGGCGCCGAATGTTTATCTCGTACTACTTCTAAGACAAGTCTGTCTTCTTTGTATTCGAAGTAACCACTGTCTCCTGTGGGGCACTATATATGTTGATTAGTACTGTGTCTCCCACTGAGTGCTAGACCACCTTTTCGTTTTTTTAAGGATGTTATCTGTGGCCAGGAGCGTCACCATGATAATATTGATTCGTCAGTTATGACCCAGTTATCGGTTCAGATTATAACGTGCATTACATGTCGGTGGTCTATTCACGCTATTAAGGAACGATCTGCGTGAGACACTATAGTAAAAGGTAAATTAAAATGTGGGAGCTAATCCTACCAATAACAGAAATAAATAGCATTGTTATACGGAAATTACATTCGTTATTTATGACCGTCCTGATGTCGCTATGGATCTTTAATTTTTATCTTAGTTGCTGTCTACATATCTTGGCCTTAGCAACTGTGGAGTGTGGCGCAAATCGAGGGTCCAGCCCAACACTTTTGTTGCACAAATCTGGACCTGCGGCCATCGTCTTGTACACGCACCAACCATCTGATACATTTCGACTTACCGCAGTTTTCATTGACACTACCAGATGGAAAGGGACCACTGGGGGATTTCGTATCAAATGGCACTTAGGAATTTTGCTCACGAGTAAGGGCACTGTCCTGTGACTGTTTATTCCAATATGACAGTTGAAGGAGTTTTAAACACTCATATGGATCTACTCGCGTTCATATAGACATTTTTGATCGTCATTCGACAGTAATTGCTTTGGATTTCACTTTTTGAGTGAAGCAGGGAAATGCTGATCCTCAGCAACGCAAATATTTACATTTTCTTAACGAAATCAAAACCAGAAATGAGTGCTGACTTAAGAAATCTTTTCGCCTAAACTCTCATGTAACCCAAACATTTAGATAACAGGGATTATACGTTGTAAGCATCAAATCAGGATGGGAAATTGGTTTATAAGTTCGATAAGTTACGGTTGGGCTATAGTAATCAGACACAACAAAAGAAAAGCGGCACATCAAACCTCAACAATACAAAGTACTTAGCTCAGGCAACAAGCAAAGGACTAGGTAACAGGGTCTGTTGGTTTAAGGTACCAGTATCGAGCACATGTACCGTTTTTGCTCACAGAGTTTCAGCTCTGAATTGCATATGTATATAGCCTCGATAATGGACAGTAGCGGCTTACGGAAACATTGCGAGAAGCCCTGTGCAATGTCCTGTGACAGTCATTGCATTCTTGGGTCTCACCGGCCCATGAATTTGTCCCCACTAAAATTTTCACGTGAGTTACGAATGCCTATCATTTCTCATTTGTTCGACACCGTGCAATCGCATTCCGTTGGGACAAGCTCCGAAAGAACCTAACTGCAATGGTGGATATAATAAGGTTTCTGTACAACTCAATCCTCTTTCGGTTGGCAATACCTACCTGCATTTCGGCTGGATCATCAAAGTATTTATTTAGCAACTACTACTTAGCATCGCGGACTCTTAGGACCCAAATTCCTGTTTCATTGTGCGTGATCGTCATGAAGTTGCTGCTTCCTTTTAGGGAGTAATCGGACTCCATGTGTCACATGGGGTCGAACGTTTTTCTAACACCTGGCGGTCCACCATGGTCGTATGAATTCCTCTAGCTTGGTCCCTGTCACTAGCCCTATTAGCATTCAGTACATCCTTACGTTTACTGGGGTTGAGATAGCATTATTTTTTGATTCATCTTCTGTCTGGTGCAGTGACGTTCAGTGAGTGCATTTTACTGGTATGGTGGTACGAGTCTTGCGTCGTTGTTCTTGATGCATAAAGGCTGCGGCCTTACATCCTTTGTGGTTGCTGTTTTGGATAGAAATACGTGCCCGCACTGTAATTTAGTACCCTGTCACTGAGTCTTGACAATCTTCCTACGAATGAAATTTGGTTCTTTTGCGATACCGCTATATCCTATAATCTTTTCCGAGAAACATTTTCTCTTTTTTGAGCCCCATCATGGCTTCAGCATACCCAACACCTACCGCCGACATATCCTGTGGATCCGATCCTGCCTAACCAGCTGTACATTTCCTTAAGTTTCGAGTACAGCTTTTCGTATCCGGCTATTATAATGATGGGTTATCACTCACTAGAGAAAACCGTGCTCATCATTGGAACACCTGCTTTTTTACAAGTGCAATTACTTACGCTCGATTCACACCTATGCGGACGGTTACTTTTGTCTAACCTTTTTCTTCATCCGGCATGCTTTCTGTCACCCCGAGGTTGAATAATACGTCACGAGATTGCTTATCCAATTTGGAATGTTGCGAGTTATGTTCATACTGCCCATCTTTAACATGCCTGTGTGACGCGGGGTGCCATGATCAGCTGCTATGTAACTGTTAGTGTAGAAGGGAGTGATTATGTGGCAAGTGTTGATGGTGCGTATATTGCTGCTTGACCAGTGTTTGCGTTTCATTAAACAAGTACGTTTATAGCGATACAAGACTTCAACTTGTTGTCGGTAATTGCCTCCACCATTTCATACAAAAGCTTTTATTTCTGTGGCTCTGTGTGGGACGTTGATAGACTTCTAAAGTTTTTGGTACGTACCTACTCAACAGACGTTAATTATTTGCAAAAACCCGTATCAGCAAGAAAAAGGTTTATCACCAGCTTACGAAACGGTACTAAGACTGCAGACTCAAGTAAGGCTAGCTCCTGCCTCTTGTGCTCATTTGAGCTATGCAATAAGGAGAGACAATGAGTTTGGTGGCATTTCGCAAGTGTGCATTTTGTTAACCACAAGCTGCTAGGATGAAGTGGATCGCGAGCACCGTTGTACACTATAGTCATAAAAATCAAATGAATCTGACAAGTTTGATCAATAAGATGTATTAAGATCAACCAGTGAGAGAGGTAGATCTGATTGGAGCCCATTAGTATAACCTATCTTCGTAACTGCACACATACATGTGCATGGTAAATCCTCAAGCTGGATTAAAAACCGACTGGTGTTGTGCTTATAAAGAGCATAAACGTACTGGGCAGGACCGATTTAACCAACTTCTCAATATGGGGTGTTCGTACTTGTGCCGCGTGGGCCTGCTGGCCAGATGGGATAGAGGATGATATAGGACACTCATACGGAATGGGAGGTTCTGAGATGAGCCCCTATGTATACACGCGCTTCGTAGACCATCGAGACAGGTAAGAGAACAGGTTAATAAAGAACCAATGGAGTACGAGGATGATGTGACATGGATCCCGTTGCCACAATCGTCCGTGCACTGGGTTTTAATGCGCCCGGGATCAGTTTTCACTCCTGCTGAAACTGGATTGAGAAAGCCCAAAATAATGAACAATCCCAGTCGTACTCCATTTTTCCTAGTGTCAGTGTCCAATGCTCCAATAAACTGGATATTTTTAACGAACGATTTACTCACTCCTACAGTGCAACAGAAGGGTGATTGGCTGCACAGAGGTGCGATGGCTGTACCCACAAACGCCGCGGATTGTTGATTTGCCTCTTTGCTTATAATTTTGTCTCGGGATCATTGCGTTATAAGTGTTTTCTCTGTGTAAATGTTGCACCAATACGTTTCTTTTGGGGTGTTTGTTCATCTGTGCAAATTTGGTACATATATTCTGGGATTGTTTCGGAGATCTCACTGGTTGGCCCAAGTGCCGTTTGTGTCCGCCATCTTGGAGTTGCTCCACAGCAATTTGGTTTGTGTCAGCCAGACCACCAGGTTGCCCGACAGCGTTTGGATTCAGCGTACTAGTGTCGACGTTGCAAAGGACAACATCTGCAGAACTGGCAGGCACAATGGAACGTACTGCTTGCCCACGGAAAGCTAAGCCTAAAGCATCCGAACTAAACGTTATTTATGGCGCAGACAGCTGTGTTAAACTTGTCCGGTTTAGAATAGATTGCAGAAATTGTCGAAAGTATTTTCATCCTCCACGTGTTTGCCTTAGTCTCAGCCAGATAAAGAAACTTCATAGTACGAGTGCTTCCCTCTAGTGTTGCACTGTATCTGCGTCTATTCCACTAGTCAGACGTATAGCTGTGTTGGCACAGAAGTGCGATAGACTGACAATGATTATAGAGCAAGAAGCAGCCGTGAAAGTTGCCCCAAAGAAACCAGACAAATCAGTGCCTCGAACTCGATGTTCAACCTCAAGCTCCAATCCAGAACAGTGTAGCCGGGCAGAAAATAAGAGAAATGATCCAGAGTTAGTCACTCCCACACTAGCGGCTGCCCATAAAAATGCGTTCGCCACACATTCTTCACCAGAACCACCCGCCTCCTCGAACACTGTTAACGGGCCGACAACATACACGTCCGTTGTTGTTACCCATATGACAGCGGCACCTTCCATTGTAAACCCACCCGCTGCCGAACGAGTTAAAACTACCAACACCACCACCACAGAACTCAAGACCTCATCAGCTGTCCAACCAAAAAAAGCAACCACTGGTCCCTCCAAAAGGAAGAACATTAACAATACCATAATTCTCTGATTGTTATATACTCTACTATGACTGAATCCGGGGCGAACTCCATAAAATGTAAGCCACTAGGTGACAGGAAACAGTGAGACTGGCAGTGTCAACTAGTAGGGGTTCAAGCTAATCCAGTCAATATTACGCGCCTTGTCCGCCACCCACACTCCGTACACTACGGTGAACCGCAGTTACTCCAGGTCAAGTAATAACGCGGAGGCAGTTCTCTTGTCAGCCACTCGCCTCCGTATCACCACACTCACTG